GATAGTGTTGTAGAGAAAAACTTGAACTCTGCTTCAAGTTAAAACAGAGAGGTTTATTAAGGGTTTAAAGCAATTGCAATTGGGGAAACACATGGCCCATTGAAAATGGAACCAGGTAGTCCCCGGGCAGTTTCATTATACAAGTATTCTTATGAGGTAAAAAGAAGAACCAAACCATAGGGAGGACAATTATAAGAAAATCAATGAATATTGTAATAATCACACTCTGATTGGTTACTGATTATTAATAGTATAATTGGTAATTACAGATAGTTTCACAGGTTGCTTACATCATGGTCACAAGATGCTTATATGTAGTTTGTCTATCTTGCAAAAAGAAGAAAATATCTTGCTGGCAACAACACTTCAACAGCACTCTTCCGGAGTATGGGTATTTTGAAGAGTGCAGATGGTCACTTGGTTAAGACCCCCTCCAGGCATACGGTTTCACATCCTGGTTTGGACCACCAAGGAAAAATACGTTTTTCTCAAAAAACATAGCTGTTTGTCTAGAATCCAGATTAAAATTAGGTCGCGTGGCCAGCATATTATGCCTCTGTCTTGCTGACTGCACTGAAAGTTGTCTTTTCATGACACAGTAGTATAGAGCAGAGCAGAAGCAGACAAGGGATGGATCTGAGAGTAAAAAGACTAAAAGACTAACAATTGTCATTACTGGTTTCAAGTCACAACTCTGCCATTTACTAGCTGAGTGGTCTAGGATAAGTCACTTAATCTCTAGGCCACCAAGCTCATCTGTAAAACTGAGATAATGACTGCCTTTGCTTATTTAACTATTAAATTACATAAACTATATAATGGTGGTCATGACAAGATTAAAATGACTATAAAGGAGAATGAGCCACCTTTAGATTATGACAAAATAAAGATAACAGTTGAAATCCCAGATCAGATTCCCTTGTTGGGGAGCCCATGCCACAGTCTTTCATCTACCTTGACATGGTTAACTACACCACTTTTTCTCCCAGTTTGTTACAAGTATGATACATTGTTACGGTAATTTTTCAAATTTACAACTCAATTTTACATCATTTCTTGAGGCTTTCACTGTGAGCTGTTTGCCATCTAGTTAATTCTAAGCCATGACAATTTCTTGTGTGTCAGAGTAGAGCTGTGCTCCATAGGGTTTTCAATGACTGATTTTTCAGAAGTACCATATTTTTACGCAAACAACGTGCACCTTGTTTGCCAGCCACTCCCCCCCACTTTGTTTTTGTTAACTGCACTGTGATAATTTTTTTACAGCGACATATAAAAATAATTAGCATTTCGTGCTTATGGAAATACCCGGGGAGGGAGAGGAGGGAGCAGTTGGCAAACAAAAGTAAAATAGGTGTGTTATATGCATGAAAATACAGTAGATAACCAGGCTTTTCTTCTGAGATTTCTCTGGGTAAACTTGATCCTCTAACTTTTTTGTTTAGCAGCCGAGCATGTCAACAGTTTGCACCACCCAGAGACTCTACTATGGGCTTAACAAGATACTGCCCTCTGTGCTTTATTATTGGAGCCCTGGTGGCGCAGTGGTTAAGAGCTTGGCTGCTAAACAAAACATCCGCTGTTCAAATCCACCAGCCACTCCTTGGAAACCCTGTAGGGCAGGTCTACTGTCCTTGAGGGTCACTATGAGTTGGTATCAACTCAACCACAATGGGTTGGGTGCTTTACTAACAAGGGCTTAAGCAACTTATTCAAGTAAACCCAAATAATAAATGATAAGGCTGAGAGTTAAACTGATGTCTCCTGACCGCAAACCTAGTGTTCTTTCTTCCGTGTAGCTCTTCCTCAAAACCAAACATTTGGATCAGTCAAATCCTTGTTGGAATATATTTTAAAAATAAAACGATTAGAGAAAAGCCTTACATGAACGGAAAACACAAATATCTGAAGTATCTCTTCCTCTTTCAACCTAATGAACCTTGTAGAAATGCTGACTGTTACAGTTGGGAGCAAACTGAGAGCATGGAGTGCAATAGTTTGCAAGGTCTGCATTTCCAAGACCTGTGACTCAAAGCCCTATGGTCAGGGAGCGGCAAGACACCACGCTATTGTAAGCATTGAGAGACTCCATATGCACCTATTTATTTGCTCATTAAAAGTATAACTGCTATCACTTGAGAGGCTAAAAATATTTTGACAAAAAGGGGTTATAATAAATCAAAAAGAATGCAAATCACAGTTAATTATCAGTGGTTCCCTGGCGTAGAGGAAGGGTGAAGAGCACCGTCTCACTTTTGTATTGTTTGAATTTTTACCAAAAACATGTATTACTTTTATAATGTTTTTAAAATACACAAATGTTCCTCAAAATGGTCTTTGTGAGTTTGGGGATGGCACCCAAACTTGAAAAAAGCAAGAGACACTCATCCAAAATCCCTAGCTTCCAAATTAGCTGACAAGGAAGAGTGGTTTTTATTCTCAAAGAACCTCTTACCAAATAGTGATGTTGCCTTAGAAATACCTGCCTGTCTTGGAAGGACTAGTTTAGATCAAGGATTCACCTGTGGAAGGGTATTCAGTACATGGAAAATTAAACCATCACCAGTGACCTGATCACCTGGTGACTCTAGTCTGGGTTGAGCTGGCTTGTAGTCCTCTACAACACCCCACACACCCTCTCTTTTATACTATTGTGTATGGATTTTTAAATTCTTATGGAATTCAGACATTCTTAATAAGGTTAAAATGACACATTCACAACCTTTGCCTAGAGGTAATCTTTAAACCTTAAACCTTAACTGAAACTGTTCCCTGAGAGTCATCTTTAAACCAAGCAACAAACTAATAGAAACTAATTAGTTTAATTACTAAAGAATGTTTGCTCTGAGCATTGTGGTCTTTAACAAATTATCCATGTGCAGTCAGTTCAAGAACAGCAACTCCAAAGTTTAGACTGAAAGCTATGTTTTAATATCAATCATTAATTATTTAAATGGTTCTTCAGGAAAATGTACGGAATCCTGCATGTTCACAAGTTGTTTTGTAAACCATAGGCTGACCCTGTGTCCATGGTAACGGGTAATTACTAGCAATAAATTGAAATATAAAAACCTCATTGTAACTAGCCTGCATTGAGCCATTTTTTTCAGAAACAGAATGATCGCCCTATATGCACATAGAATAATGCTCAAATAAACCCTATATGTTTTAATTTATTTGTGCTTTGATTATTTTTAACAGTACATAAGACAAATCTTCCACTGAACTTCAACACCTGTCCCACCCCACGCTCATCACCTTCCCCCATTTAAAAATTGCTCCGTCTCAAGTCCTGAACTTAAGAGTAAAGTTAGATTTCAGTAAGAGTTGTCCACATCTCTGATTTCTTCTTAAATTTGCTGAATTTTATTCACCCTTCAGAAAGAATTAACTTATTTCTACATTTCCACAGCCCTTTTCTTGAACCCTTATTATGACACTTATCAAAATCTACCCTGTGTTAGTTATTTGACTGTATGCCTGTACCCCTTAACCTACATTGTAAGCTCCTTGACAAAAAGAACTGTGACTAGTCCTGCTTTATATCTCACCACCTTCCATCCCCCACCCCACCTACACCCAAGTACATGGTACTTGTCTCTTTTTATAGGAGGTGTTTGTTTATCGAATCCTATGGGTGCAGTCTCCTGAACGTACACTCCTAGGACTAACACACCCCAAAGCTCTGTGGATCCCTTATAATTGTCAGCTAGGCAACCTCATGGTGCCTTCATCTTTCAATTAAACAGTTTATCAACAAATATAAACCATTCATTGGATTCTTTAACTTTGAAAAACAAAGTTTTGCTGTCGTTGAGTCTATTCCGACTCATAGCAACCATATAGGACAGAGTAGCACTGCCCCCATAGGGTTTCCTAGGCTGTAATCTTCACCGAAGCAGACTGTTAAATCTTTCTCCCTTGGAGCCTGGTGGTTTCTAACTGCCAGCTTTTCAGTTAGCAGCTGATTGCTGTAACCATTGTGCCACCAGAGCCCTTAACAGAGACAACTGCTTTTTTTAGTCTTCAATGTTAAAAAAAATAATTAACATTGAAGACTAATAAAAAAAAAAAATAAGCAATTGTCCCTCTAAACATTGAATCTATACCTTGTAGAAGTCACCCGATCCCTGGACTTCCCTGAATGCTCATGGGGCATGAGTAACCTCAGGTTTTAAATGTACCTTCTTAAGCCCTTCATTTGGATAGGGAGTGTCATTGACAAGAAGGAGATGCTTGTCTATTAAACATATCATCCCAACATTCTCTTCCTCTGATGAAGTAAAATGAGACCTTTTCCTGACTCACAAATTTGGTAGTTTTTGGACAATGATGAAGAATAGTACACGTTTCACTCAAGTCATGGCAAACCATCATAGGCCAAAGACCATGAGATCAGAGGCTTCTGAATATAACCCATTACCCCCTTTCCTTACCACCTAAAAGTCAATTCTGTTTTGTCTCAGGGTCAAAGTACAGGCTCAGTGTATGGCCCAGCCCTAGTTTATCCCCAGATTCTGAATATGTCCAGGGCTGGATTTGATTTGGTTTCCAGGTGGACCTTAGACTTACCCAGCACTTTAGAAAGAAGGCAGGAGTGAAAAGTTTAAAAGAAACATAATCAGCCCTGCATGCTCCAGGATAACTCCCAAAAGGAGACAGCCCTGGTCCACACCAGCACTACCTATATGCATTACCATATCTGAACCAGACATGGGCAAGACCCTGAAACCTACAAGGGTTCAGGAGAGCCATATATCTATATTCAGCTTTACTTCATTCATTAGGTTTGTAATTAACTCCAGGGTGAGTAAGTGTGTTCTGTGTTGTGAGAGACATTTGGATGAAGCATCAGGAAATATGTCATACTGTCATCACTATAATATTACAAACATCACAGCTGCTGCTTACTTCTACCTATGGTTGTGCATGGGAACCTTTATAAAGTGAACAAGCAGAACTTCTGCTCCAGTCTCAGCTTGCTGTGGAGCCTGTCAGCTATGAGAATCCATTACCTTCTCTTTGTGTTGCTCTTCTTGTTCTTGATGCCTGTTCCAGGTAAGATGGGACTGGGAAATAAGAGGACTGAAAGAACTGAGAATATGTAATACAGACTCAGTCCCTCTCCATTCTTCAGAAGACTTTAGACCAAGTAGATGTTTTGAACGAGAACTAGGTATCGTTGGTTTTTTTTGTTTGTTTGTTTGTTTGTTTTTTTTGACAAGAATCATCAAGAACCTTAAAGAAGGCTTCACAATCTTTTCTGAGCCACTCTTAAGAGAATGACTAGCTTACAAAATCTATGTCTTCATCCATTACTTCATGGAAAGACTGTATACCTGCTAATGAGACATAGGAAAGTGTTAAAGAAAAAAAGAATTTAATACCAACAGAAAAGATTGATTTTACCTGAGATGGGAATCACAGCCTTCCATTTTATTAAGTTTAATGGTTAGAAGTTAGAGTATTTGGGTCACTTAGAAGGCTTGGAGGAGCACTGTAGCCCCTAGCCTCTTTATGTGTGTCTACTCATATGGGAGGTCCTGGTGGTCATACCAGTTCCCCAATGCCACTGCAATTTCACAGCTGAGCTGCAGCCCATAGAAACATTGATAGGCTGCTGAGTTCTTTCTTTTATCTTACACTTAATTTTATAGAAAAAGGAAGAGAAATGAAGGAATAGAAGAAAAACAACAGATTTGAGGAATTCCAAAAGCTTTCCTAATACTTTCCCATATGTTCTATTTTAATTGCAGGTAATGGAGTATTCATCAGTGCATTACAAAAATATTATTGCAAAATAAGAGGTGGCAGGTGTGCAGTGATTGGCTGCCTTCCAAAGGAGGAACAGATAGGCCACTGCTCATCGACTGGCAGAAAATGCTGCCGAAAAAAGAAATAAAAACTCCAGAAACATGATGATAATGTTGTGAAGTGAAAAAATGCCTCCTTAAAATTAATAAAAACAAAATGAAATTATATATATATGTATTAAATGGAAGATTTTTTTTTTAAGTTTCTGTTATTGTGGTAGTTGTTGCCATATACGCAACTGAGAAAATGTTAAGGACACACCTTATAAAGTTTAATCTCTAGAGGATTCTAAAATGGGACCTAAGCTTATCTTCCAAGGGCTATTAGACTCTATTATTCTTTTGTAAACTTTATACTCTAGAGAAATTTGATTCCTTGTTTCTTAAATATTCCCTTTGCTCTCTTATCACCCATGCCTTTGAGCTCTCTAGTTCTTCTACCTGACATAGCATTACCCCACCAAATCTATCTTTAAAACTTTAATGTATCTGTGTTAATAATAATTGACACAAGGCCAATCACCAAAACGCATAGATAAGTCATATACCTGCTTTTTCACTTCTCCATCTCTGACTTCAGACAACCAAGTGGTCTTTTCTCTCTCTGTAACCCTATCCACCCAGAGCTAGGTCTTTACAAAATGACTGCCTGTACATTCCTCTTCTGTCCACCAGCCACCCAAAGCTGAGGTCTTTACAAGTTAGGACTCTGTCCCTCTAATCAACTGCCAAATAGGCAAACGCCAGGCGCTGATGGTCCTCATGGCCCGCAGTGGATTTGATAATTCACTAGAATGACTCATAGAACTCATAAAAGGGTTATACTCACTGTAACCTTTTTAGTATAACCACAAAAGGATATAAACAAAGAGAAGCACAGGGGAGGTCTAGGAGGAGTTTTTGGCATAGAGTTTCCTGTCCCCAGAGAAGTGCAGTTCCTCCCACATGTATCATCAATCTGAAAGCTCAAAAAAAAAAAAAAAAAAAAAGCTTCAAGACCCAGGGACCATTATAATAGTCACCAGTTACTCAATGTATATGCATCACTGGGGCCTTGATTCAGTGATTGATTGGATCACTGAGTGTAGATGATGTATCATGCTCCCCCTCTCTTTCTGAAGTTAGTTTACCAAGTGTGGCCTTTGGGCTCCCACCTCATTTACAGGCCTTTAAGTGTTGCCTGGCTGTTTCAAAAAAACAAGCCATCTTGTTAGGAAAAGGTAAAGCACTCTGATTGCTCCAGAAATTTCAAGGGCTATTTGCAAGAAACAGAAACAAAAGGCCAAATGGAGTTCTTTGTCCTGTACAGTATCCCTCAAGGACTATCCCAAATCCTTCTGAAAACTTCATATTGTTGTTGTTGTTGTTAGGTGTCATCAAGTAGGTTTCAACTCATAGAGGCCCTATGTACAACAGAACAAAACACTATCAGGTCCTATGCCATTCTCACAATTGTTGTTAGGCTTGAGCCCATTGTTGCAGTCACTGTGTCAAACACTCTCATTGAGGGGCTTACTCTTTTTTGCTGACCCTCTGTTTACCAAGCATGATGTCCTTCTCCAAGGACTAGTCCCTCCTGATAATATGTGAAAAGTATGTGAGACAAAATCTCGCCATCCTTGCTTCTAAGGAGCATTCTGGCTGTACTTCTTCCAAGAAAGATTTGTTCATTCAATATTTTATGCTGATACAATAATTCAAAGGCATCAATTCTTCTTAGGTCTTCCTTATTCATTGTCCACCTTTCACATGCATAGGTGATTGAAAATGGCTTATGCCAGGTGCACCTTAGTTCTAAAAGTGATGTCTTTGCTTTTTAACACTTTAAAGAGGTCTTTTGCAACATTGGACAAATCTTGACTTTCTTGACTGCTGCTTCCATGGGCGTTGATCGTGGATCCAAGTAAAATGAAATCCTTGACAACTTCAATGTTTTCTCCATTTATCATGATGTTGCTTATTGGTCCAATTGTGAAGATTTTTGTTTTCTTTATGTTGAGGTGCAATCCATACTGAAGGCTGTGGTCTTTGATCTTCATCAGTAAGTGTTTCAAGTCCTCTTCACTTTCAGAAAGCAAGATTGTGTCATCTTCATATTGCTGGTTATTAATGAGTCTTCCTTCAATCCTGATGCCATATGCTTCTTCATATAGTCCAGCTTCTTGGATTATTTTCTCAGCATAAAGACTGAATAAGTATGGTGAACAGATACAACCCTGACGCATTCCTTTCTTGACTTTAAATCATACAGTATCCCCTTGTTCTGTTAGAACGGCTACCTCTTGGTCTAAGTACAGATTCCTCATGAGCACAATTAAATGTTCTGGAATTCCCATTCCTCACAATGTTGTCCATAGTTTGCTATGATCCACACAGTCAAATGTCTTTGCATAGTTAATAAAACTCAGGTAAACATCTTTCTGGTGTTTTCTCCTTTCAGCCAAGATTCTTCTGACATCAGCAATGGCATCCCTTGTTCCACGTCCTCTTTTGAATCCAGCTTGAATTCCTGGCAGCTCCTGTTGATGTACTGCTGCAACTGTTTTTGAATGATCTTCAGCAAAATTTTACTTGTGTGTGATGTCAATGATATTGTTTGATAATTTCTGCATTCTGTTGGATCACCTTTCTTTGGAATGAGTACAAATATGGATCTCTTTCAGTCAGTCAGCAAGGTAGCTGTCTTCCAAATTTCTTGACATAGATGAGTGAGTGCTTCCAGCACTGCATGTGTTTGTTGAAACATCTCAATTAGTATTCTGTCAATTCTTGAAGCCTTGGTTTTCACCAATGCCTTCAGTGTAGCTTGGACTTCTTCCTTCAGTAACATTGATCCTGGATAATATGCTACCTTCTGAAATGGTTGAACATCCACCAGCTCTTTTTGGTACAGTGACTATGTGTATTCCTTCTATTTTCTTGTGATGATTCCTGTGGTATTTAATATTTTGCCCATAGAATCCTTCACTATTGCAACTCAAGGCTTGAATTTTTTCTTCAGCTCTTTCACCTTGAGTAATGTCCAACGTGCTTTTCCCTTTTGGTTTTCTATCTCCAGCTCTTTGCACATTTCATTATAATACTTTCCTTTGTCATCTCTAGGCGCCCTTTGATATCTTCTGTTCACCTCTTTTATGTCATCATTTCTTCCTTTTACTTTAGCTACTCTACATACAAGAGCAACTTTCAGTCTCTTCTGACATGCATTTTCAACTTTTCTTTCTTTCCTGTCTTTTCAATGGCCTCTTGCTTTCTTCTTGTATGATGTCCTTGACGTCATTCCAACACACAAGCCACCACAGTACAACAACTTGACAGACTCATGGTGGGAAAACTTTATACCTCAGAGAAATGGGGAACTTGTCTCTTCTTCAAATATTGCCTTTGATTTCTTATCACTCATGACTCTGCTTCTGTTGGCCCCCTACCTGGGATCTAATCACTCTTTCAACTCAATCTCTAAAATTTTAACTTATCCCTCAGAGGTCATCTCAAATTCTTGAAAACGTAGCTGACTTATGGAATAAATATGATCTTTCCTCTGATTCACTCCAGGATTCTAGCTTAGACTTCCACCTATGACTTTTATTTTGTATTTGTATTGTATGCATTTGCATACTACTGATCTCTATATTTACTTGCATGATTGATCCTTAAGCACAAGGACCTTGTCTTAGTCATTTCTAGATTGCCTAGTAAAGTGCCCAGAGCATAGGCGCTGTCTAACAAATTTTTATCAAACTGAATTACATTCAAATGATTTGTAAGTCTTGTAGTTTATGATTTAGCTCTTTCTCAATGTTGGTATAGAATAATTCAAGTAAATGGAGTGGGAGTCCATAAGTCCCTAACGCCAACCCTAATCAAGGCACTAATAGAAAAGATAAGACAACAAGGAACTTATGAAGAGGAAAACAAAGACCCAAAGATAAGAGCCTGGACTTCACCTTCAGTCAAAATAGAATCAATTGTTACATAAAATTTCTTCCTACAGTGTACAACTAGAAAACCAGACAAAATATATGTGCTAAAATAAAATCAATATTAAGCTAATAAGAGAAATTAGTTAAAGTTTACTTAATATATGATTTGCAAATTGGGGCAAAATTTCTGAATAGAGAGTCAAAAATGTTCCAGAGAAGGAAGATTCTTTACAGGTTTTTATCTTCCAGCTTATCTCTAGCAATTATACATTGCCATGGAAACTGGGCCAGAACAGAGTTTACAAAATAACTTGTGGACATGCAGGATTCCATACAACATTTTGTTGGAAAGCAATTCAAATGATTACTGATTGACCTTAAAACATAGCTTGCATTCTGACCTTTGGAATTTACTGTTGTCAAACTGACTGTACATAGATAATTCTTTAAAAGAGCTCAATACTCAGGGCAAACATTCTTTATTAATTAAACTAAATTATTGTTTGATTTAAAGATGACCTTGAGGAGACAGATTCAGTTAAGGTTCAAGGTTTAAAGATTCCCTCTGGGCAATGATTTTAGGTGGGTCATTTTAATCTCAGTGGCCCCAGGAAGTCTGAATTCCTTAAGAGTTTAAAGTCCTGTCCTCATATGAAACAGCTGTTTTCAAATGTTGGACCACAAGCAGTGCAGGACTGTGATTGCTGAGAGAAGGGAAAGTAATGAGGTTAGCCTTATGATTGCCCAAGCTTATGACATGGAGGCAGTTTTCAGTCCATAGCATAGAAGGAAGAACCCAAACAGAAACCAGAAATCCTATTGAGTTGAAGAGACTTAGACCAAAATTCAGACAGCACAAGATATCCACATTTCCAGGACAGAATAACAGAGAGGAGACAGATGAACTGAGACAGAATTCCAGAATCATGGAGAGGAGTCTCCTTGAATATTGAGCTGAGTACTGATCAGAGCATGCTTGGGGTAAAAGTTCACAAGGCCAGGGAAAAACAATAACAGTGAAAAGGGATTGGATGAACAACCCCAGGAATTCACAAGATGCTGGAAAAAAATTACAGTCCTACCAGCCAAAGTGAAGAAATCTTAAGATAAATTTCTTAGAAAGACCTCATCTTCTTAGTGATGTTTTTTAGCTCTCAACTGTTCTA